TAAAACAAATTAAAAGTACCTCAACCACTAAATAACAAGTGTTGATGCACCTAGCATCTCACTAAAAGAAAAACCCATCACCAACACATCAAATTAACGCCTCTTTACAGCTTCACATACATGGTTCCCACCGGTACAGTAAAGTTCAAAAGAAACTAAAATATCAACCAATATGAGGCAAAACGTCCACATACTGCCGACAAACTTAGCGTGTACAACACACCAACAACTTCTGTCTAAACGATCCAACACGAGACCCATAAATAAAGAGTTGTTACTGTTAACAAAAATCCCTTGAAGAATCATCAACATTGGACATCCGCCAAAAATGTCCATCTTCGAACTTAAAGTCTGCCTCATAACGCCCGCACAACTGCATCGCGGCGGCGAAATCCAACCATCTCTTGTCATTATGATGATATAACGGATGCCCTAACTAACGTCGATGTCGGTGAGGAGACCATGACAAAGAGCAGCAGATACTGTAGGTTGCTGTAGTCGAATACTAAGCAAGGCCAGGAAACCCAACATCTACTTGTGCGGAGCTCCCACGCGGTTGTCCCAACATTAGGCATTCTCAAAACAATGACCACTTTTTTGCTTCCGTAAAGTAATGCAAAATAATACTAAACTGCAGATACCGGATTTTTAACGGGATTTTTCTCCCAGCTCTGCAATCCAGAACACCAAATACAGCAGACAAACGCTGGCAATTTTAGAGTGCATTCATAAGTATGAATAAATATAAAAGATCAGATTTACCACGGGTGCATTAGGTTTTAGTCGCAGACGTTCAAATTTTTAACTGCCTATCCACACCAGAAACCTTTAATGTAACATGAGTGGCGTAGCAAATGGACCTTCGCGACGAACCATGTGAAGAACGGCTGAGGCTGAGTGCGCAAAAAAAAATTCAATTTTTTTATAAATCTTTCATAACAAAAGGCAACAAATTTATCTTAATTAAAGATTATAAAGGAAAGCAAACTCCTGTCACAGAAAATTTGCGCAGTTTCCCAA